TAGTAGTAGTAGTAGTAGTAGTAGTAGTAGTAGTAGTAGTAGTAGTAATACAAAAAGTTGACCTGGTTGTGGGCTCGGATTAATTGGTGGGGATTGTTGGCAGAAAACTAGACCATAGGGGGGGAAATCAACAGCCAATAAGACTTTTAATTTGGGCAATTTCCGGCGGCTTTGTGGACTCGGGCTAACTAGGGGGATTTATTAATCCTGACTTTACATTACATGTGCGTGTGGTTTTTGGTGTTTCATCTGTGATATGATTGATTAGAATGGATACTCTTGATATTTCACCCACCCATATGAAGAGGTTTTGACGATTCATGTTTGAGGGGTTATTAATCAAGAGTATTCATGGTACATATTCTAACTTGGAATGCTTTTGCAAGACTACGAGTGTTGAAAGACAGTACCGACTCATTGGATCTGATCACACGTAGTACATGCCTTCCAGACCTGGTCATGCCATCTCAAGCAAGCAAGTGGCTTGGATCAGACTGAAACGAACATGAGCATCCACAGCTGTAGGCTGTAGACCCATGAGCCATGAAAATGGTTGGAAGAACATCCAACCCAGCCTCGTGCTCCGTTCCTCACACTCTCCTTAGTCGTGCGCTGGGGCGCCGGGAGCTGAGCCAATCCGAACTGACCAGCAGCTAGCAGGAACACCTCATTGTCTCCTGGAAAAATGACTGAATAAGCAGTTCAATGAGTTTGTTCCACTGAGATTGGTGTTTGTTTAGACTAGATTAGGAAGTATATAGTTATTGCAGATACTCATGGTTGATGAAGATTCATCTCTTTTGGAAGGCTTCAGGAACTTCCATGCAATGCACTTCAATGGTTCAAAGGTTCAGTGCTCTCCAGGGGATCATGTAACTAACAAACTCCTTTGAGCTACCTAGCTTCTCCCGACAGCCCTGAAAGGAGTCCTCTTTGCCCGTGGAGGGCCTGCAAGGCTTTTCAAATTCACAGCCGCTGCCCATCAGTTGGGGCGAGATCCTGCCATTGACGTGACCAAGCCAAAGTTTTGGTTGCGGGGTCATATTCAAGAACAGTCAACATTACTTTGGTGGGTAGTACATTGCTGCGGGTTGGAAGACCCTTAATGGAGATACCCCTGCAAGTAAACGTTTTATCCATGGCTGTTCAGATAAAGATAGCCGGACAACCTGACAGAGAACCATGCATGTTTTTTGAGGAAGAGCTAGTTCTTGAACATTAAGGTGGATAAATTTGAGCAACTTTAAGCCTCCAACGCCATCCGCAAAGTTTAAGTTTGATATGTGTCATGGATGAGATGTTTTTTTGCAAGTGATAAATTTCACTGTAGTGCAAAGCTGGAGAGCCCTAAAAAGGCTAGACTGCACATCCTTAGATATTATGTTTATTCTTGGGTGGCACAATGATACACATGTATATTATATACAGCAACATGTTCATACGGATCATCAGTGTGATGAGAAATGCGGCTCATCAGTGTGAATTAGATAATAACATACAATAACCTGTCTTGATATTTTGTGTTATCATAAACAGTTCTGAACACAAAAACTGTACCCCCAAAAGCCTTCATGACCCCAGCCATGCAGTACTGCCTGGCTGAACCTCGCCGCAGGTACTTGCGAGCGTATGGGCCCTTACCACCGGTGCTGCCGATGTCCTTTCCCCTCAGGCACGGGCTTTTTCTTGACCTGGATGCGTCACAGGTCGTCGTTGTGCTGCGGAGCACGGGCTGACTCGCTCCTGATTGAAGCCTTGCTCAGAGAACCAAGACCAAGAGTAATGGATGGGCTGGAATAGTGGAGGATCCTTTCACCTAAGCAGTAGACTAAGTGGTTTCTACCAAGATTCTTATCCACTCGTATGCAGTTTGTCCATGTCAAGAGGGCAGATTGTGGGACAGGATTGAGACGCCCAAGCTTTAGGTGAAAGAAAACATTGCATACTGTAAAATGAAAAATTGCAATTCTTGGCCATAGCACATGTGGGGCATAGTCATGACCTGCAAATGGCTTGCATACTTGGATAGAGTGGTTTTGCTTACTAGTGGGATTAGGATGTTTGTGGACCTTGGTTTTACTCATTCATTCGCATGCAACTTCGCCCTGAAGCTGGTGGAAGACAGTCGTTTCAATCCATCCTCAAACCGCGATCAGATTCCCTTTTGAAGATGTGAAGGCGACAGCTGCCCGACCAGGAGTGAACTGAAGTCGGAATCCTCTCGACGTGTAATACTTGTCTTGTAGCTATGCATTCAATAGGTGAATTACGGACGCGTGAAGCAGCATATGGCCTTCTATTTTAGTCGTGTTTGTTCTCAGAGAACTCCGCGGTCCGCATGCGACGCCGGAATTTGCACGAAGCGCGCTGCCTCGCGCACGGCGCCAGGCGCTTCAACCATTCAGCGGAGATGTTTGATGAGTTGCTCTTGTTGGGAGCTCGCATTGGAGAGTTTCTGGATGCACTGCCAGAGAGACCCTCGACATGAAGTCGGAACCCGAGTTTCTGGTTTTGGGCCACTTCGGGGCACCAAGACACTGCGTTAAAGGGCGGAGAACCAATGTGTTTTCGTCCTTTGTTGGGATTTCGTCCTTTGTGGGGTTCGGATCAATGTGCGGGTAACTGACTGTCCTTTCAGATATACCCACCTCCTTTTCCTTGGTTTTACCCAAACATGTTGCGTCTTTGGTAGACTCTTCATTCTGGTGAGTTTGGTGTCTTTCTTGTTCGGAGGCGCAGGTCGGAGGGCGCAGGTCGGAGGAGAAGCCCAGCTCGCCCAGTTGAGTGCGCCAACGTGCGCCAATGTGTGAAGCTCAGGGTGGAGCCTCCAATGGCGTAAAAACCTCCTGTTTCTATGGCAAACTAAGAATAACTAAGATGTTGGGTCTCCTACTCCAGGGACTAGCCTGGCTGACAAGCTACTGTCCACTTACTCCTTGTTCAAGCAGGCGTGTCCATCACCTCGTTTGATGCAAGGGATCCCGCACGATCTACCTACAGGATATTCACACACTGTGAACAGCATATCTTGGCACCAACAGGCAGAAGCACAAAAGACATCCACAACCCATGGACCCTGCAAACAGGGTACCTATGTAAGCAGCTGGTACCTCTAAGAGGTCCAGACATTTGCCGTGTTGGCCCAGGAGTTCTGTGGTTGGTCTCCGCTGACCTGGCTCATACACACTTGCAAAGTGGCCACGTGGCACTGGCAGTTGGTCGAAGTCGAACGCACTGGCTGGCTGTCCAACAGGCAAAACGGGTGCGCTCGGAATGTTCCCAGAGCAAACAAGGTAAACCTATACATGGAAGTCTTAGAATAGCTCACTGGCAGTTTTTACATGAGCAAAGCCTGTGATGATGAATGATAAACAACACATTGGTGTCACAGTCACGATAGTGACTAGCAATGTCCCCATCCAGGGTTTAAAGCGTTGGAAGACCAAATGAATGGGGGAGTTCTCATTTGACACATATTGCATTGTTTTATTGTTGGAGTGGTTTGGGCTTGCTGACACGCAGAAATATACCGTTCCAACAAATTGCAAAAAAAACACTGCTGTGCATCTGAAAACTGAGCTGCTGTGCCCCTCAAGGGAATTGAAACTGGATGGAATCTCTGCCCAAGAAGTGAAAAAGCAGGCACTGTTGTTCATGCTATGCATTTTCCACAAGAAACTGGGCCAAAAGCACAACGTGGTGTTCCAGATTCCATCCAGAACTCTTGCTCTACTCACTTGAACATATTTCCAAGCCGATGCTTACAGAACTCGCCTATATGGTTTGACGCGGATGCTTCGGACGCAGTTCTTGACCGATTGGGGCCCGGGATCGGATAGACCTGGGGGCCGACCCGCTCGTTTGCGCGCCGCGTGTCATGACAAGCCGACCCGCTCGTTTGCGCGCCGCTCGTTTGCGCGGCTCGTTTGCGATGATAGGAAAACCGCCTGGGTGGTCTGTGATTTCTACCGTGAAGCATGTGGATCTTGGAGCACCAGTTCTTGCCCAGACTGCATTGCTACGAATTAGTAGCGAACATTGCTCCGTTCGTAGCGATGCCCTTTGTTACTAGTAGCTTCTCGTTCTGTTACTGGTAGTAACGTCAGGAGCTACTAGTTTGGGGGAAGAACTGGGCACCTGTGTTTGGCTGCTGCATATCGCTTTCCATGTTTTTTCTTGGGAGGTCCCTGCCACATAAGGGTTCTTCAACCCCATGGAGGGGTTGCACACTCTTCGTGAATCTGGGTCAATCAATCATTCATTACTGTACTACATCAATCACAAAACTCTTTGGAGGGTCAAGAGCCGAATTGTTTCTTCCACCAATCCATACCCATCCTCTTACTCCTTACTCCTCTTCCTTCCGGACTTCCAGCGCCCAAATGCCGCATGAATCGACCGCCCAGCACATGCGCGTCCTTGAGGTCCTTATGGCTACTGCCCTTGTGCGGAGCCCTATGATCAAGCTTGCAGCCAGTGGGCTGCTGCTGGCGGATCCCAATCCTCCATGAGGGCGCTGTCCGAAGCGCGTCGTCTTCAAGGAAGCTGGGATGGAGGGAGACGGATCCGGCGGAGAAAAAGGAATAAAACCCACTAATTATGGACGGTCGGGCGGTGACAGATCCGAAGTTTTTGATTGATGCAGTGAATATACCTTACCTCACTCTTGGTTTCAGGACACAGATGGCGACCGCGCTCTCACAAAAACCCTGGGAAACGCCTGGGTTCAACCCGTTGCAGATGGGAGTGACAGGACCCAGGCCAGCCGTTGGACGGCGAGGGTGAACTTTTTTGGTGTTTTGGACTGGGTGCAAGCGTGTCAAGGAAGGTGGAGGGGGTACTCTTCGATCCCGTTCCAGGCCTTAAGGGAAAAAGATGAAAAAGGGAACTCTGTTTCAGAAACCCTGGACACCCGAGCTTTCTATATGCATGACATCATTGCTGCATTGGGGGCATTGTGAAGGAGATATATACGTGGAGAGACAGATCCTACTCCAAAGCCAAATTCGGGAACTGGGGACCCTCCGGTCTTGTTGGTAGAAGATCCAGAGCCCATCGACAATAGCCCAAATTGATGAATTCCTGAGCCCAACAAATAGACCCGAAAGAGACTTTAACCAATGCACAAAGACATTCCGAAGTTGCTGTGTGTTTCATTGGTTTCAGACAGTAGTTTTGCTTCCATCCTCCGACCCCAAAAATGGATCCCAACGAACCATTGGCGGGGGTGACTCTGGGGTGACTGATGGAGTCGACTACTGTGCGCCCGGGTGACCGGCGAGAAGCGCAGGAGAAGGCGCCATGTCTTGCGGCTTCACCGGTCTGGTGGCTCTACAGGGCGCGTTGCTGGGCAGGTCTTGGCGTGGAGAAGTCTTGGCAAATGAGCATCCCACCTACTATGGCATGAGACTCAGCGCAATTTGGTGGCCCTGTAAGAATCCTTCAGCCCTCCATGGCAGGGGTTTGGACCCGACACCTTCGCAGGGGTCCGAACCCGAACCACACCCTATGTGTTGGTTCGGGCCTGGATTCTTAGGGCGGTGAAGTGATGAGAGCGCCTCTTCCAATGCGTTCGACCGTTTGTCACTTTTGGCACTGGGAGCTCCTACCTGAAGTTTTTGGGTGAACTTGTTGGAGGGCACGTAGTGGAAATACCGCGCAAAAAGCCGTGTGGGAACATCGCGATTACATGTAATTACTGTTGCCCCGATGTTGTTTCTTCGTGTGTGTGTGTGTGTGCGTGCGTTTGTGAAAGATTGTGATTGTATGATCGATTGGACGCGCGCGGCGACTCGTTTGTAGTGGATACACCACTATGTGCGGAGTTTTCTTGCATATGTGCAGCATGTGTGAGCCTATGCGTTCACATGATTGGAATTGAAGGGTTCAGGGTGTGGAGGTGAAACAGTATCCGTAGAGTGGCAGATTGGCTTTAGATTAGCTGTTTGTTGTCTACTTTCTTGGAGGATAGATGATTTTGGACAAAGACAAGAACATGAACTAGCCACGTTCTGGATCACAGATGTGTTTGTTTGGAGACTGGACCTCCAAGTGTTTGGCGGAAAAGCGGCTTTTCCACCCAAAACCTGGCAGGGTTAATTGACAGGGGTGCGTGTTCTTCTTAAAAGGACCGAATCTTCTTGGATGGAATCGTGTTTGAAGCGAAGAACAGCAACCAACTACGAAGGCTTGCTGACCACCCTCCTCCAAGAGCCAAGGGAAAGTGCAGAGAACAGCACTAGAAAAGTTGGGAGACCTTTGTGTGGAACAATTCGTTAGAGTATAGCAGAGTTTCAGCCCGATTGGTCGCTATGGTATGGAGCCTGACTATAGGGTTTGATCATGGGGGAGGACATCGTGGGAGGACATGGGAGTCCAGGGTGTGCGAGGTGATTTTGATTGTGTTCCTAGAATATCCTATATAAAACTGATTTTAAACATGTAATACGGCACCCCCTAGAGGTTGCAGAGTCTCCTCTGTCCACCAAAAAAAAACACCTGTTCTTTGGAAGCTTGGTTCGGCGATCGGAGCACCGAAGCAAGGATGGTAGCGAGGTTTATGCCATCCGAGCTTCTGCTAGCGTGAGATGGATGTGAAAAAGACAGCAGTCTTTGGCCGGAACGGCAGGCTATGCGATGTTGTAGTGATCCCAAACTAGACGGGCAAGTCAATTCACTTCGAGGATGTACTGGATTATCTATATCCATTTGGATCCATTTGGGACTACTATGACTATAGTTGACTTTTTTAAAACAATTCCCAAACACTCAATGTAATTAGGCGAGTATGAGTGAGTCTTTACATTTGCCATCATTTGCCTATAGAGTGTCAATTATGCAAAAAGGTCATATTTGTAGAAATGCAGTCTTATGCAAATCGTTTTGTGCATCCAAAATCTTTGACATGCCACACACCGAGGGGCTTTCACCAGGGTGAATGTAAATCTGTCAGAAACACCGCTCGTGACACGTGCGTCAACATCGTACGCCACGGTGCGTGTGTCGCGACATCTTCCTCCGGAGACCTTAAAAGAAAGCCCTGTGACTGTGGATAGAGTCAGAGCCATGGGCTTTTGTTGACAAGTGGAGTGCCAGGAAGTGAAAAGATGTGAAAAGGGGATCACCTGCAAAATGGGATTCCAAGAATCTCTCAAGATGAACCGGTGGAGTTTGTTGGATGAAAGGTGTTTTTTCGGACACAACGTCGGGAGTGGGTTCCCTACTAACCTCACCCACGTGGATCGATCTGGGGCAATTAAATGGAAGGTTTGAGAGAGGTGGAACCAGACAAATGTTGGAGGGTTTGCTCCAGGGAGATCCGGTCTCCCTGTGGCATCGGTTGCCAGCTACAACCCAGTGGAAATCCTGGCAGGTTTTGCTGATCAGGTGATGTTTTTTTCTGTATAGTTAAACCCCCATAACCGGGGGAATATGTTGTATTTTCCCAGGAGCCTGGACAGCAAATTTCCAGTCCAGCGACCTTGCAGGTTTAAGCGACCTCTTCGACACTGAAAGCGTCAGTGGCTTCTTCAATCAGTTCACCGCAGGCGTAACGGGCACGGGTGGAACGCCTATCGATTGGTCCGCCCAAAAACACGCGACCTGTGGGGATCAAGACGGTGGAAATCGAGAAGGGAGCTGTGGACAGGGGTGGTTTTAAAGGGTTTTTAAGGTGAATTGGTTGTTGTTCACTAGATGAAGTCATGAAGCCCTTAAGATGCTTCCCTGTTATTTTTGTTGTCTTGGTTTGGACGCATATGGACGCATATAAAAGGATACATTTAAGGGCTTTTGTGCTGTTCAACTTTGTTCAGTCAGTATGGAGGCCTTTCTCTTTGGATTCTTTTCTGACTGAACGACGCACAGAGTGCAAAGCCAGCCCACTTCATTGCACCGACTCTAGGCGATTGCACTGCCTCGAACTTCAATCCCAGGAGCGGGTTCGAACTCCGCGTCCGCTTTGGGCGTTCCACTTCGGGTGCAACGATGCGTCTCCGTCCGCTTCGTTGTTGTTGTTGTGGTTGTTTTTGAGATGTTCCTGATGTTTTGTTGTTACCCTCAGCTCCAACAAACATGGAAGTGGGGTTCTCCAACTGCTTGCAGAGGAAAATGTGCTTTTGAGCATTCCACTTCCGCACTTGTTGGAGGGATCGGAATACAAATCAATCGTCACTCCGGAGGGCTGGTATCGTCCAGTGGCTATGATTACAGTGGTTACAGTAGATGGCACAGACCCCAAGATGTCCTGTAGATGGGGGTCCATATAAACCACCTCTTGGGGTTTGTGCCATCTACTCTCAATCCACTATAAGTGCATGCAGTGAAGGGGATGAGCGGACCGTGTGGACCGTAAACAGCAACAAATTCAAAGCGATAACCATGGGTGTTGTCCAACATTGTCGCGATGAACAAAGCACATCTCAGATCAATGTCAATAGACAAAGGATGACGTCAGGCATTGAATCATGGAAGTGTTTCTTTTTAGGTGTCCAACGTGTTTCTCCCCAAGTTCCGCTCCAAGATCGAAACAATGCTGCTGCTGTGTTCTTGGTTTTTCCTGAGCCTCATTTGATCGAAAAACAAGGCCTGCGGGCCTGAACCATCGTCATCCACGATGTAACCAAGTAATAGGATCGACCCAAATATATAGGCAAATATGGCAGACCCATGAAGTGTTTGGGTGTGGTTCAAAGAATTCTTGTGAATCACCCTGAACCGCCAAAGATCGTATATTTGCGACTGATGAACACCATTCCAGAGTACTCAATATATGGTTCTTTAGAAGGGCTGGGCGTCTCCACCCGGAGTGTGTCACCCATCAAGGCCCCCCGAGTCATGTTGGGTAAATTTCACGAATCTAGGTGATGTGTTTCGTTTTTGCGGTGTTTTACAAAGGGATTGACACTTGGTCAGGTCAAGGGGACTTGTTTGTCCTTTTGATAAGCACGCAAGGCCGAGTGTTTCGTGGGATGTATGGGTCAGTCACCATCGTCCGTTTAATCTAAGCAAACGATGCAGGGGCTCAGGAATTCCTTTTTTTAAATTGAAGAAAAACAAAAACCAAAAAAAACAACTGAACATTTTGCTTTTGCTGGTCGAACCGGGTGACAGATGCTCTCGTGCAAGGAGGCTGATTTTCAGGGAATGCACATGTGAACAGTGCGCATGTCATGTGAATGAGCGGAATGAGAGCATTTGTTGCGGACCAAGCTTTCTTCAAGGACACTGTCCCTGTGATTGGTTACTGAGCTTGGCCCCTTGATGAGTCACCCCTACACTCCTACATCAGATTGAAGGATGTGTTATGTGGTCCTGAAGAAGCCAAGTGCTCCAAGCTTAAGGCATTCTTGGATGCCACATTGACGGCAGGTGTTCCCATGAGGCCAGCACACAAGATGCCGTGGAGAGCATTAGGCCGGCAATGGGTGTCGATGGGTTTCTCCATCGACTGTCATCGAAGATGTCCCTCCAAAGTACCCCATAAGCACGGGACATGACCCAATGAAACTAGGTACTTGTATCCCTTTTCCCAGTAGAAAGGAGTGAGAGAGGCATCTCAAGTAAGAGACGCTGGTCTAGATTCTCCTGCTGCTATTT